GTCGGCGGCAATGGTGATCAGAACGACCAGAACGTATCAGGAGTAAGACGATACCCTCTGGCTCGTTTTAACGATCTTTTCATCAGTTTCGTTTCGCTGTTAAGGCTAGTCATCCCAAGCAATACCAAACAGAAACGCTTTTCTACATCTTCCACGTTCTAGTCGGCGACCAGATGCAGGCCGTGGCCGCCATGGAGTTGCACTCGCGCGGTTGGAGATATCAAAACAAGCTCCAGTTGTGGTTTAGAGTGGCCACTCAAGAAGACATCGATGCTGCCGCCGACGGCGCAGGGCGCAACCCTAAACTTGATGCGGCTTCCCAGTATGTCTACTTTGACCCCTCATCGTGGAAGAATCGGCTTTGGAGTGGTTCCGCAGCGGCTATTGATACACACGAGTTCTTAACCGCCACAGACCATCAGCATCAACTCATGGCCGCCTCTGTTACCTTCCCCCTACAGACCAATTTCGATCTCTATATGCCGGAAACGTCAGCAGCCAAACATCAACAGAAAGCAATGCAAGCTGCTGCTGCTGCGGCCGCCGCCGCTCAAGAACGGCAGAGGAGCCAACAACGGGCTTAGTTATGCTACTATTAGCATCGTTGTCCTTATCGCTACTTCTCATCTCTGCTCTTGCGTTCTTTAGTAGTGGTTACGACACTCAATAACACAACAACTTTTACATCACAGAAAAGTTAAACAGTATTTTATGCTACTGTCGCTACCACAATCACTTGATGGTCAAAGGTCGATACCGCGATCCATTTCTCGACCCAGGTAGTCGAGTTGGTGGATGAGGATGGGGATGTTCCAAACTCACAGCGAAGTCATCAGCATCGTAACCGACGAGGTCCTTAGTGATGATTTCTTCTGGACGGATTAACTGATGTCGACTGGCGTTGTTTGAACGCTTCGAATGGGCCACCATCCACCATCGATTCATCACATGCTCGGGGACAACGAGCTTCTGACGAATCTTTTCCTTCAACTCCGCACCCGTCGTTTGGCCCTGACCGAAATCAATTGCAGTCGTGTTGGTTGCATAAACTCCACCTACCACGATGATCTTTACGAGTGTTGGGAATCCGAAATACATTCCCCCTTGAGTGCCGCGGTCAAAATGCTGCACATAAACGGTCAAAGGCTGCCCATCCTCAACAGGAGCGTGAGGGGTCATAATCTTCGCCCGACAATCATCGTCGTCTCTTTCCAAACGAATGTAGCTGATAAGGTAACAATAAACTACCGCGCGCCACGAAATTATCCACTACTCAAAGAAAACGTTCGTGAGCTTATTCTGTGCAGTACTATATCGCTGCAGCTCATGGAAGATGTTGTCCTCGGCGCCATAGACCTCCACAACCTGTCATTAAAATGCCGAAAAATGCAGGCCGTGGGATTCGTACCTCCGACTTATCGGCTACCACCATCCTCACTGGTACAGCGTTAGCATCACATTCATCTTCGTGGATAACACCGGCCTTTCGGCAATCGCTGACGAAGGCCGGGTTCTCATCAACAAGATGCTGCCAGAGTTGATCGACTGTTAAGCTTGGCCTGATATCTGGTGGGAGAACTGCAAGGTGCCGGGATCGAACCTGCAACATTCTTGATACCTCTGGCTTCTTCCTCCTCTTCTTCCACCTTCGATGGTGACGGGTAATACTCCGAGGCCGGCACCACCGTTATGAGGCCGTTGGCCACCTCTCTCACATGCTCGTCGAAGAACCGAACCTAACATGGATGCTACGATGTGCGGATGGAGTGGTATGGATTCGTACGCATGCACATCCATTCGGATTCTCAACAACCCTCTTCGGGACAGCGACTGCTTGCATGGTCCACTCATGCATGGGCGGCTGTCCCCATTGCAGATACGAAAACTTCTCGTGCGATTCCGCAGCGTGAATGGCCGAGCTGCTGTCGTCCATTGACGTCTAAGACCGATCCAAATCCGCACGAGTTCTATTCCCACGCCCTCCACCTACGAAAAATCTCTGATGAGTACCCAGAAACGAACAAGCCGCCTCAGGACCGTTGTTGAGGAACCCTTCACCACACGCCGCTGGGGGCAACCCTCCAGCCGTAAGAAGCACCGATTGACTGAAAAAAATATTTCTGAAATGTCCTCGCCAGGGATCGAACCCACAACCTTACTCAGCATCAATGTTGAATGCTTCCCTAACCGCTAGAGTAACTTGCCCGAGACTCCATCTCAAATCCATCTCCAACGACTCAGTCGGATGCGGCAAACCGTGCGCGGCAATAGTCGCCACTGGTGACGAACTGAACGACAAATTTTTGGAAATATTCCCGAAAATCACTCAAAAATTCCCGAAAATCGATTAAAGTTTTCTACCACAACTTACTGTGCTGAGATTGCTGCCGACGACAGGTTTCCTCCACTCGCCGCATTATCCGTTCCACGTGAGAAAGGCCGATCCCAACTATCGTGAGAGCATCTACCAACACGCAACCAATGGCCCATTCAGCTTTGACAAATAACATCCCACAAGATTCGATAACAATGGGGAGAAATTCCTAATGTGATGGGAAACTGCAACTCCCTTTGAAAAATGTGTTCCCTTCCGGAAAGATTATAGGATTCCCAACGTGCGACTCCCCTTCCCTTACATTCCGTCAATGCTCACTTCCTCCGACGGATTGTCCAAATGGACCGTCACCACCACCTTGTTGACGATACTCGAAAAGCAGTCCGAAGCTGTGAGTATCTTCAAAAACGAAAAATGACAATTTAACCAACTTTTCCTCGCTTTATGAAAATTGAACAAAAACTTATAATACAATAAAATAATTTTCTCACGTTGATCGTCGGAACTTCCATCACCGTCGGGTCGGGCACCGCGGGAATCGGCGGCATCGGCCCATCATAATACTGCAGCACCAATACCGGTACCACACCATTACAAACAGACACCTGATATCATAATCGATCACCAGGGCGAGCGCTACTCACATCCAACATGCTTACTAAATTCGACAGCTCTCGGGAGTCATCCACTTTAACAGAGGTCATTCCAGTGCGTCGCTCCGCCTCCTCATAACACAAAATCGTCCCTTCACCCTCAGACGGAGTCGTCTCCACCCACGAAGATACAAACTACAAAAATAAACTCCGCTCCGCTAAAAAACAACCAACCCTAGCCCAGCCATCCACAACGAATAATCGACGAAAATTGCATAACGAAAATCACTTCGCTCCGCCTCACCTTAGCCAGTATATTATCATCCACCTTTCCTGATCCCTTCAACCCAGCATTCTCCAGCATATCAATCACCCTCGTGCCAAGCGATGACCGTATCGTGGGAGGAGCCCCCGAGACAGCCGCTAGCGACAAGTAGTCGGCGCCAATTTGGACCACCGCGTGAGTCTCAGGGCAGTAGTATTTCACTATCACCAATGTCCCTACAAAGTTACCATACAAAAATCGCTTCGCTCCGCTAAACCTCCCCCCTAAAACTACCTTGGTTCTTCTCAATTATCTCTCCCACGCGTTCAGGCTTTGACCGGCCAATATGCAGACGTTTATGGGCAGCCAGCGTATGGCTCGGCACAGCGAGTATCTTCATGACCGCTGCGCGACAAAATTCAAAAACGCCCTCAACGATACCGTTATGTCGGCTACTTCCTTTCCTTCCACCGTCCCTTTGCCAACTACCACCTTCTTAAACCTACAACACATAAGAAAATAAAAAAAACTTCCCAAAATTTTCCCACTTTCCCGAAAAACACTCTAGACGGCGATTATCTCAATAATAACGCTACCATATTTCTTCGCTTTCCTCAACAATAAATTCCCAAATTTTTTTCAGAATTTCCATACAATCACCAACACATGCAGCCGACCACATGCATATTCTCCCACGCTGCTCATTGACCAGTGCTCGATAATTTCGTTCCTATTTCCGTTGCACGCATGCGCATAGCTCATCGCTCCGCTGCATACTCCTTCCCATAGCATTACGCATCATTAAGTAGAGAATCTAACGTCCTCCCCGCTTTGCCACGCCCCCCACCGCCACCGCCGTTTCGATGTAGGTGGTAACGGTCACCACTAGGAGGAGCATCGGCCGAATACATATTCCAATCAGCTGCTCCCGTGCTATCCTCCTCAGCGTTTTCTGATACCACCATATCGCTTTTCAGCTGAGACCAGTCCATTTCCGTCGTTCTGAAAGGACGCGGGTTCAACTCCTAGCACCAAAAATTCGCGAAAAAAATCGCGCAAAAATTGCGAAAATTTGCGAAAATTTGCGAAAATGCAGAAGACTCACGAATGACCTTCCTCCGCGCACGCGGAAGAATAGAAAATTCAAAGATATTTTCCAATATTATTTCGACCAGTTTTTCCCATAACACACAAATGACCAAAATTTTCCTCATTTTCTCCTACATCATCCGGAAAAATTCTGAAATTTTCGCGGAAATTTTTTCCCATTATTTACCCTTCCAGACGACGTCGTCTCAGGTAAGCCAAGCCAAGTTCGTTCGGGTCCAAATCCGTCTGACCATCGCCAGTCTTCTTCAGAGCTTCAGCAACCCCCTCGGCAATTTGATGCAACTGAAAGACACTGGTGGTAACAATATGAAAATTTTCGGGAGATTCTTGTTGGTTTCTGTACGCTTCTACTCAAATTTGTATGTAAACTACTATAGTGAGTCAATTCCTGAGCTCAGCAGCTGAGGGAAGCGAACATATATTCCTCTAACACTGCTAAGAAAAGAAAAAATCAATAGAATTATGAATTTCAATGGAAAAAAATCAAAATACTTTGAAACTGCCCCACCAGGAATCGTACCTCTGCTGTTCTGAGCATCTGTATTGTAGTCCCGGCAGCGTCTGCAATAGGAGGCATGCCAAAACCCTAAGGAGAGAGCATTTAAATCGTTCAAACATTCACGGGTAATCTTCTCCCACAATCGGATTTTTTCGCCCACTTTGCTACTTCTCCCTGTTTAAGATCCGCTGACGTCACAATTCTGACGTTTACATGCATCGCCGCCGCCTGCCTTTCGCGCTTCCTATCGTCCACTCGCTTCGACTCGAGCTCGAGCCGGGCTTTCACCTAACGGACCTAATCCGTATCTTGCCAAGAGCAACCTAAGATACTACTGTCTCATAAGAAGGGTTCGTAAGCACCTTTCCCGACTCCGACTCCTTCACATACACCAACAAATAGCTGAAAAAATATCGAAAAATGCCCTCACCAGGGATCGAACCCACGCCCTTTCGATTACGCGCTGTAAATCCTCTGCCGCTTAACCTCCGCAGACGATCGCAAGCCTCTCGTCAAATAGTCACACGGAACAACATCTTCCCCTCCAAAATTGTCTTCAACCTAAAGCATGAAAATTCATGAAACAAAAATCGTTTCGCTTCGCCGACTTCCACTCACCGCAGCATATTCCGACACTCTGGTCACAGAATCGTCGTCAAAGCGAAACCAGTCACTACCTACCAAATCGATCATCAGGGCGCGCGCTTTTTCATACGCAGAAGTAACCCTACCTTCTCCTTTGGGTCGGATGAACGCATAATAATGCCCCGAATTAACCTCACCAGAATGAACCTGACGTATCCAAGGTTCAACCGTGCATCTCACGGGGAAAAAGATTCTTCCGAGTGCGGTACCGCACTTACCAAAACTGTGTGAAGAATATAATCTCCCGTCCCCGGCAAGAGGTTATCCACATTCAAACGAGTTGGGAATTCAAAACGATCATGCCTGAACAAAATCGATCGCGTGATCGATTATACCAACAGATATTCTTACAGCTTCACCATGTCCATCCGCTCGAAATCAAAATTGAATCTTTTCAATTGGATGTTCAACACCGGCGGAAATTTAGTGAATCGAATACCCTTGCGGGCGCGCTGCTTGCCGCGACCTGCTTACAACCCAGAGGTCCCCGGATCAAATCCTCCCACCTCCCTTTCTACTACCTTCCGCCTCGTAAGCGTTTTCCCCTTCCAGCATTTCCACTTGGGTAAAATCGAGTAGGGAATCTTCCAAAGTTTTCAAGCCCGCCACATTCAAAGAAAGATCATAGAAAGGTTCCAATCTGACAAAAAATTTATAAATTTTCAGAAAATTCCGCGATTTTTTCCGAAAAAAAAACGTAAATATCAAAAATTAATTTTTTCTAGCAGCCGAAACCTCACTGATGCCCTAAAACTTTTCCGAAATTTTTCCACAAAATTTCCATCCCCTACCTTCGACTGGAGTAGCTGATATCAACACATTCAATGAAGTTCTCCAACTCCCCCTCGAATAACTGCTCAATCGCGCCGTCGACCGCAGTGCCTCTCAGCTTCTCCTCAAGCTTATCACATAACAACCGCTCCAACTCTTGAGCCTGAATGTGGGTAATCCAAAGATCCCCGGTTCGATCCCAGGCCGAGGCACTTTCACCACCACTATTAAAAATAACGTAATACCAACCTCATCCGTATCCAACTAGCAGCAACCTAAGATACGCCCTTCCCATTACTACATCATGTTGAGTAAAAGCATCCATGGAATCCCACCCAAAGGCCCGAATGAGGTCCCGACACGTTACGGGAACATCCGACGTTTGGAGATCCAAAAATACCTAAAATCAGCTCAGACGATTACCTCTCCACTCAACGTAAAAAAAGGAAAAAATAATTTTTCCCGTTTTTTTGGGAAAATAATAACCTCCAAAGGAAAATTTTATCTCATCACCTTAAGTCCAATTCCACTGCAGAGATCTCCAATAAAAATGATATTTTTTTCTCATCACATAGTTGTACCATCTCATTCATCCAATGATCTCACTCAAATTTTCGACAAAATTTTCCCACTTTTTTCGAAAAAAAAATTCACGGAAAAATTCACAATAAAGCACCCAATCAACCATCCCTATGTTCACTCTCTGTCATACATGTCCAACAACTCCACAAGATCTCTCACCTTCTGCAGAGCTATCGGCAAACTAAGTCGACCGCCCCCCGACGGACTCATACACGCCAAACTGTCACCACCGTCACCACCAGCAAGCTCATCCTCAGCCAGCAATCCTAACCACCAAAGATACGTGCACGCATGCCCAAAATCTTCCCTGTGCGCGCGCAAAAGAGTATCTTACGTTCCCGCTCAGCCCTCGGATCCACCGAATATACAATTTCCCTAAATCGTCCCAAATGATAAAGCGACTGCAACAAGCCGTTCAGATAACAAGTCGCTCCATGGTTACGTAGACCGACAAACCTGGCGTTGAGGAAATGCAAGATTGCAAGATTGCAAGATTGCATCATCCTTACCCAGTGCCTCCTCTTTCCCTGTCTGTGCCATTGCCCAACACAGTCTCCGCCTGTCTAGCATAAGCCGACGCCCTCATCACCTACACATCAATTTAGCCTAGTCGTTATAATGTCACCCTGTCATACTGCCAACCCAGGTTCAATTCCCACACACTCACAAATCTCTCACCAGACCATATAGAAACCCTTTGATGAGAAACTACTGGCACTAACACTTCACGTTAGTCCTGCTAGCCTATCGCCAACCTCGCATATGCATATCGAACAGTGGGCATAAAATAAACTAATATATAAACTGGACTTCAATACAATGCCTGAGTATACTAATACCTCTATTTTCAGGGTTTCACGACCCGTTTTACGCGAAGTGGCGTAAAATTTGGTGAAAAACGCGATATTCGCGGTGATATGCAGTAGTCGTCAAGGATATTTTTCACTAGTGTTTTCGATATCACTAGGGTGAAACTCCATTATAATATCTACAGTGAATATACATTCATAATATACTATTCATATAGCAATGAATTCGAACGACTATCCTCCCTCACAGTGCCCTTTCCCTCACCAAACATCCATCCTTATCAAGCCACCCCTCCTTAGGGTCCAATACTCTCTCAACCGCAACAAGGTCGTGCCAGCCTCTATCTATCTCAGCCTTGCAGAAACTATGCGTATCAGCTTTTACCTGCGATACCAAAACACAACAATGCTTCCAACCACTAATCAGAGTCGAAAAATACAAAAATCGCTTCGCTCCGCCTTCCCCTGGCAACTTACGATCGACTTTCGATAATCCTTCTGGTTGATCACTATTATCTGGAATTTCACATTACTAAAAACGAATCGCGGGTCCATTCCTGAGCGCAAAAAAATTAACAACTACAATTCTCAGAGTTTCACGACCCGTTTTACGCGAAGTGAAAAACCCGATATTCGCGGTGATATGCAGTTGTCGTGAAATGTATTCTTCACTAATGTTTTTCATATCATCCATGACAATACTTTCGATGTACTCGACGATGATGCCTCGGAAAATATTCATACTTAACCTCAAAAATAGATGGTATCAATAGGTTGTATTAATCTTCCTGTTTTCACAGTATTGGCAAAATTCGTCACTGCGCCACGAAATTACACAACGCCACGAGAACACATAGAATTAAAAATACTTCTACCCTACTACTACTACTACCACTACTACTACTACTACCACTACTACTACTACTACTACTACTACTACTACTACTACTACTACTACTACTACCACCACCACCACTACTACTACTACTACTACTACTACTATTACTACTACCTTCCTCCCTTTCCTGACACTCCACGTATGCAGCAACATACACCGGTGCACGTGGACGATTGCCGTGGGGGAATACCAACAACTACAAAAACAACAACATTGAAGTCTCACCCGTTTTACGTGAAGTGGCGTAATACTCCGTGAAAAAAAGCGATATTCGCGATATTCAGTAGTCGTAAAATATATTTCTCACTGGTGTTTTTCATATCACTAGGGTGAAACTCCATCCATAAACCCCAACCACAAATACGGTCGATTCAAATTCCAGTGCTGGAGAAATATGTGTTTGATTTTCTCAAAAGTTTCCACACTAATTATAGAAATTTACGCGTAAACTTCGGCAAAAGTGTACAAAAATCAACAAGACTTTCTCAAAATTTTCATATTGCCACCAACACACCTAATTCACCATGTGCATATTTCTCCACACTGTAAAACTCAAATCCTTTTCTCGCTTCGCTCCGCCATTTTTATCAAACTCACCTTAAAATAAAAGGTCCGGCCGTTAGCGGCGGTGACCTAATAGATTCAAGTGCTGGGAACTT